TGGAGTTGTTAAATGACACAGAGGCAGCCCTACAACAGCTTCTTAGACTTGCATGGTCCAGCCCATGGAGGGCTCTCCGCAATTAAGTTTCGTATTGGGCTTCAGACCTACACCCAAATCTCGGGAGTACTTCAACTAGACTTTTCATTTGTCAGGCTCAAAGGGTCCACCTATGGACTTTTGAGTGCACCTGAATTTTCTTTGGTTATTTAACTGCCTTAGAGTAATCAAAGGATTAAAAATCGGATAAAATAGTATTACAATCCTTTTTGTTTTTGCCCTTCATGTTTCTTGTCCTTTTTGGTGCTTACCCACACCTCTGCTGTTACAGGCTTTTGCAGTCCAAAACCGAGGGCTTAAGATTTCCACATTTGAGCCTAATTTTCATTTACGTGGCATTCCGTAAGGCTTAGCATGTTTCTGTACCCCGACAATTGCGGGGTTCAGACTCCAGATTCAAACCTTACAGACCCAGGAAGGAACATTTGTCAATCTTGTGTAAAATAATAGTCCTAGTTCAAGATGTAGACTTTTTTTTTTGATCCATTTGACTAGTGAAGTTTATTGTGGCCGACGGATGGAGTCTTTAATTTGGGAAAAAAGGAGACCCTGGTATTAAGCCGCTCGTTCTGACTGTTACAGCTGAATGATTATACCATTAATAGCCTTTTATGGCAGCATATTGACTTTTCAATACTGTATGCTATACTATTATGTTGACTTTTATAACTTGCAAAACAAAACTATATAAATAAAAACAATAAGATTGAAATTATCGTTTATTCACTTTTCATTTACTTTATTATTAATTAAAGAGCATCAAATTATATGTATGAAGTAATTTTGTATACAAAAAGCATAGCAAATACCAAGATGATTACCCAAAGACTAAAATTCTTGCCCAAACAAACAAAAGAAGTCATATACCAGTTGCGTTTGTGTAAATTAATCGTGGAGGACTACCTACCTTGGCGAAAGCGAAATCCAAACTCAAATTTCCTAAATTAACACATTCAAACCCCCCCGAATCCCACTCAACGCCACCATCCCCCATATTTTAACTCCCGACCTAAACTCCGAACGCTACCAAAATCACAACCCTCCCACACCCAAAATAGTTCTCCTCCTTTAGCCCCCTCTTTCCGGGGACTCAGCCCAGCAGCAACAACCATGGGAGCCTCCAGCACGGCCACCGCGACCACCCCATCCACCACGCTTTCGCCCTCCATCGTCAAAAGAATCCTCCTCTCCTATACCTACGTAGCCATATGGATCTTCCTTTCCTTCACCGTAATAGTCTACAACAAATACATCCTCGACCGAAAAATGTACAATTGGCCTTATCCAGTCTCCCTCACTCTCATCCACATGGGATTCTGTTCCTCCATAGCTATCCTCCTCGTCCGCATCTTCCAAGTCGTAGACCTCCCTTCCTCCATGTCACCCCGTCTCTACCTATCTTGTGTAGTCCCCATAGGTGCACTTTACTCCCTTTCTCTTTGGCTCTCTAACTCCGCCTACATCTATCTCTCCGTTTCCTTCATCCAAATGCTTAAGGCCCTCATGCCGGTTGCTGTCTACTCCATCGGAGTTCTCTTTCGAAAAGATTCATTTAAATCTTCCACCATGGCTAACATGCTCTCTATTTCCTTCGGGGTCGCCGTTGCTGCTTATGGTGAAGCCCAATTCGATACTTGGGGTGTTTTTTTACAGCTTGGAGCCGTTGCTTTTGAAGCTACAAGACTGGTTTTAATCCAAATACTCCTCACTTCAAAAGGAATCAATCTTAACCCAATTACTTCCCTCTATTACGTTGCTCCTTGTTGTTTCCTTTTCTTGCTTATTCCATGGGTTACAGTTGAACTTCCTTCACTCAAAGAAAACTCAACTTTCCATTTTGATTACTTCATCTTCGGGACCAACTCTTTTTGCGCTTTCGCTTTGAACCTGGCGGTGTTTTTGTTAGTTGGGAAGACATCAGCGTTGACAATGAACGTGGCTGGCGTGGTCAAAGACTGGTTGCTGATAGCGTTTTCCTGGTCGGTGATTAAAGATACGGTGACTCCAATTAATTTGTTTGGTTACGGGCTTGCATTTTTGGGGGTTGCATATTATAATCATTCCAAGTTGCAAGGGCTTAGAGAGAGGGAAGCACAGAGGAGAGCTGAGGAGGCTGATGACGAGGAAAGTGGCAGACTGTTGGGTCAGAGAGAAGGGGATGGGACTACGGGAAGAAATGAATCACAGGGTTAATTTTGATTTCCTACACTTGATTTTAAGAAAATTCCTGTTTTTTCTTTGAACTTCTGGATAATGAAAGTTAAACTGGTCAGAGATCATCCAGGTGTTTAGTTTCTTTTCTGTGCTTGCTCTGTTTATGTTTACTATTCTTGGCTGCGCACTCATGTTACTGGGGCCATTTTGTTGGATGATTTATCCTGTCAATGGTGCCAATTCATGTTGTAGGCTCGTAGCTATGGGCATTTATACTGATCATGATTTAGACAAAAAAGTTTGCTATATATTAACATTGCCAATTCCTTATGCTTTGTGGAGGCAGAGATGTAGTATTTGTATTTGTTGGATCATAGTCTTCTATTCGGTGCGCAACATGGATAAGGTGATTGCATTTCTCGGAGTGATCAAATGTTCAACTCAGTTACAGACATTCACTTTCAAATTCGTGGTCATGTATTTTGTAAATGATATTGGCTTTTGTTGATTGCAATTTGCATTGATCTGAATCTGGACTGAATGTTAAATTCATGGGTTAGACTTTAGAAAGAAGGTCGGGCAGATTTCATGATAGCAAGTTGGAACAGTAAGAGGAGAAAGCGGCTGCCAATGTCACTTGAATTTGAAGATGAATGAGCAAAACTGAACTCCATTGAATGGTTTTTCTTTTTTTGAATAATTCAGGCAAAAAACTTCATTAATCACCAGAAACATTTATACAATTAAGGCATACTCTTACTAGACATAAACAGCTTAAACTCTATCATCATGCAAAAAGAGCCTTGTTAAAAACCTTTTTATGATCAAATCCAGTGGGATAAAACTCATGAAAAGGAAAAAGAGTGTCCTTTTGTACATGTTCAAGGAATCTTGTAACCCTCCCATCACAACCAAGTATTGTTCTAGTATTTTATATTTTTCATTTTATAAGTATTTGACTCAATAATTGATGTATTGTGTTTTACTTAAAAGTGAGAAATATGAATCAATTTTTTTTTTCAAATTAAAATTAATAATGAATTTAAATACCATCTTCTTTCATATTTTTTGGATTGCTTGTACTATTTTAGCTTGACAATTGTCAAGTTGGTTAAAAGGGTTGAAATTAAGATTGACTGAAAGAATTTAAAAATAAAATAAAATATTCACTGAAATCATAATATTTGGTTTAGATAATAAAATACTTGATCAATTCAATTTTTAGTGCATAGATTAAAATAATTGAAGTTATTAGAATAGAATCAAATTATATTTTTATTTTTTATAAAATAAAAAAATTATTTCATGTTTAAATTTATTTAAGCAAATAAACAAAATATTATAACAAAGTAAAAATATTTAAATTTTAAAAATTGAGGAACCGGACCAAATGGAATTGATTTTAAAAAGCATTTGGTTTGGTATTTGAAAAAACAAAAAACTGTAAAATGAAGGAAATTTCTTTTAAAACTAAGTCGAACTTTGGAGATCATCCATGTCCAAAGAGTGGGAGTAGAGGGATCGCCACACCCAATACATCCAATAATCAAAAGTACTCAATCTAAAAGTCGAGTTACAATCTAATGCATTTCATTGCTAAGCAAGCCAAATTGGGTAATTCATGATTGTGGAATTGGAGCTTGAGGATAAGTTATCGTTTTGTGTTAATTAATTGATCTTGCTTGTGCACTTCAAACACTCGCTATCAAGAATTGCAAGCTATTGAATGGAGTCCTACTCGGAGGTAACTGGAAAACCAGGTAGTTCATTGAAATACCACCCAAGTTTTGCCTGCCATAACTATCAACACATGTATATTTTAGTGTTTTACTAATTGGCACTTGTTGCTTCATCAGAGATGTAGCAACTTCTGGTACATTATCTGGTGAAACAAGAACAGGCATTTTGATATGGTCCATTTGGGGAGAGCCTTAATTAATACCAGATTCCCAGGATCTCATTTTCTTAGTTATAACCAGTGTACTGATTTCTTTTTCGGGAGCTTTCCTCTGTAATCAAGGGTATCCTTTCTTCATCTCATCTCTTGTAGTTTTTGTGGCATCCAAGTCCCCCTTCTCCCTTAACCACCCTAAACATTAAAGATGTTGTATTGGACTTGGAGAAGAAATGCAGGAGCCAAGAGTTACGCACCTTCGAGGAGACCAAAACCCAAGTGTTCTTCACACCATTGGATGACCAATGTCATCATTCTGCGCCAGAAGGATGGGATAAGTTGTCCAAGGAGTTTACATGGCTCATAAGTCGCTCAGAAGCTGCTAAAAGAGCAAGAAGCAAAGTAGAAGCCTTAACAAGTTAACATACGCATGTATAAAGCAAGGAAATTTATTGGTCATTTCCTCATGGTGCTCATTGAATAGCTGACAATTAGTCCAATAAAATGTGATTTTCATTCTATGTACATGCTCATCTATTTCACCTGGTTTAGCAGTTTTGGTTGCCATTAGTCACACGACATCACTCCAAAGAAGAGTTTATTTAGCTCTTCATTTCAAATGATAACCTTGTGCACTTGTGAGGGTGCATTAGTTGCAGACAGACTACTTAAAAGTCTTGTTTAAGAGGGTCTACTTTTTTGAGTTCTTGGACAAATTTTCAAATTGTAAGCAACGCTATCTGATTCTTCCATGCCTTCTTAATTAGTTAGGCTAACCCAGAACATGTCTTCTGTTGAAGAAAAAAAAATTAATCAATCTTATGGAGCAAACACCGACTGTGAACCAGTATAAGGTTGCAGTTGTCTCATAGATTTTAGAACCATGCCATCAATCTTGAATAATACACAGTCTCCTGTTATGCAACTAGTACACATCTTTTGGAAGGTAGAAGGGGTGAACAGTTGGAATATAAGTCCTCCAGGGTAGAATAAAAAAGAAAGAGCAAGAAATTCCTATGCACTTTCTTCTTTAGGAGGAACATCAACATTGACTTTATCAGTTGTCCTTGGAGCAACTTCTCCAGGATTTGGCTTATACCTTTTGGCACAAACAAGAAATAAACCCAAGTTGATGAGGCTTAGAACAGCTAGAAGCCCATAAAAGTAGTCCAGTCTGCCATCATTGATCCTATGAGCCAGCCAATCATGCCCCCCATTTGTTCCAGTAACATTCCTCACGATTTCAACTAGTATACTGCTTCCAAACAAACCAAGCGAGATGGTTGTAAGGAAAAGGCCAGTACCTATTGCTTTCATCCCTCTCGGTGACTCTGTTATAAAGAAATCAAGCTGGCCGGAATAGATGAAAGCATCTCCTATCCCAACCAAGATGAATTGTGGTAGCAACAAGAATCCGCTCACTGGTAGGGTTAAGGTGGTGGTTCCCTTGGTTTTAGCAACTGACAATCGTTTCATTTCTGCAAATGCTGCAGCCGCCATAGCTATAATGGAGAAGAAGAGGCCTAACCCTATTTTTTGCAAATTTGTCAAACCTGAAAGAGGTTTTTTGAATTGACTTAGGTGATTAACAGAACAACCAAAAACAGGATGATGATAAGAGTATAGTTTTTTTTTTTTTCTTTTTCTGAACATTTCACAATTAGCTGAGTACCTTGAGGTTTTCTTGTTTTCCTGAAGAGTGGCATGATCAGGCGCTCATAGATTGCAAGAGTGAGCATTATGGATCCAATCATGAATACATTGAAAGAGGCTGGAGGGATTTCAAAGTTTCCTATGGATCTCTCCATTGTTAAAGCTTGCTGGACTGAGAAGCTGGCCATCTGTGCATATACCGTCCAAAACATGATCGTTGTTGCCCAAATTGGCAGTAATCCAGTCAACATCTTAACTTCCTCTACCCTTGTTACTGAGCAAAGACTCCATGGATTTGGAGTAGGTGATTCACTTATTCCAGCGTCCTTGCTGGTAATGACTGCTGCCTTGTCCAAGCAACTGCCAAACAAATTTTGCTTGTCAATACATTTTTGCAATATATCTAGACTCTATTAGTTTAGGGGAAACACAAGATCCATTCAGATTAAGCTTTTCAAGACCATGATGTAGACTCCAAACTTTTGAATTGCAGGAAAGTACAGCCAGGTTTTTCGTTTTTCAAATAAAAACAAGGTCTCCTTTTTTGTAATTGAAGTTCAAATAAAAAATATTAAAACATTGTCTTAACTTTCAAGAGAAAAGAATTTCAAACAAATTGCCAACGAATCTTCATTGTTGACGACGTACCGTAACTTATTTGTGTGTGACAGTCTCAGTTCCTGTGCGGGGTCCTCATATAAATGGCTAATATTAGATGGGAAGTCAACATTCCTTTTCCTTATAGCAGCCACAAGAACTTGAAGTATTTGAACCACAGGGCTTCCCGGACTTTCCTTGTACCTATACTTTTTAGTTCCTGATAGAAATATAAAAGCGGAAACAAGCATAGCAACCGAGCAAATGCCATATCCCCAGCTTCGTCCTACTTTGTCTTGTATATAAACAAGGACAGTGACCGCAAGCAGGGTACCAATGTTGATGATCAAGTAAAAGATGTCAAAGAAACTTGCCATTTGCTGCTTTTCCTTCTTATCATTTTTGTCAAATTGGTCTGTTCCAAAACCTGAAACGCTTGACTTAATCCCGCCAAGTCCTAGTCCATATAAATATAGAGCACAAGAGAAGACACCCATTTGCAGGCTGTTGGCCTCTACACATTCATTGGATTGAGCAGGGTTGCAAGCAGGTGGGCGCAGCTGTGGCAATCCTGTTGATATTGCTAACAAGCAAGTGCCCTAGTTCATCAACAGATGGCCAGGATTGTAAATGTGATAATCAAGTGAACCATTGACGCAACTCTGGAAAAGAAAAGAACGATGCTTTAAGTGCTTACCATTGCATTGATCCCAGCAAAAATGACAATCGTCCAATATCGGGTTAAGAAAGTATCTGCAAGAATCCCTCCCAACAAGCATAGCATATATGATGTACCCCCGAAATTTGTACTGACATTTGAAGAAGTTGCACTAGGCAGATGCATTGTGCCCACTAAATATGTCACCAGGTTCACCACAATTGCCATTGTTGAAAGTCTCTCGCATATCTCAACTCCTTAGAAGAGTAATAATAGCAATAATATAGTCAATTCGTGTGTAGAAAATAAATCTATACTTCTCCTGAGACCCAGATCATTGAACAAAGATCTGAAGTCATTGGACTACCAGAAAATGAAAGATTTCAATGTCAAAAGATAAAAAAAGGAAAAAAAAAAAACCATGCTGGCATTCCAAATGAAAGCTGAAGCGTTAAATTAACAGCATATCCCAAAAAACAACTGCTGCATATACAAATCTGGAGAGGAAATTTGATGAATTTGTTTAAATAACTTGTATAATGTATCAACAACGTTATAAGACAGATATACGACATGATTTCTGTTTTTGATATTTTTTTATTCTATACCATTTTTCAGATATGTAAATTAAAATAGAATTATAAAAACTATAAAATTAATGAAAAATGCACAACTACATATTGAAAACAATTGGAAATCGATTCCCATAAACTCTAAACTACTAAGATCATAGACTACGCAGAGGAAAAAGAAATGCACCCAGGATTAGAGCCGCAGCCACCCAACCACCAGACGTGTTCCTATCGGCAGAATTTCCCTTGTAGTCAACAGCATCCGACACAAGTTGCATTTGATTTTCCTCCATGACAGGCTTAATCAAATACAGAAAAGAGTAACAAAAAACTTATTGGAGGATTAATCTAAGAAGAAAACGAGCATTGACTATAGAGTTGTTTATATTGTTCCAGGATCAGTTCAGACATGTAATAGATGTGACCAAATACATTGGATTTTAGGAAAGGTAAATAAATTAAATTTCTTAAAATTGTTAAAAGTTAAAATGTACCAGAAAGGAAACTGGCAAAGTTAGAGGCCCCAATTGGCTCCTTGCAATTACTGTACTAGTATATGTCTGGAGCTTATCTGTCAGGATAATGATTTTTTTCTTCTTTCAAGCAAGGGGGATTTGAAATTTTTGAATTTCTTCGTCCATTTGAAGAAAGAACTCAACTACCAAAAGGAAAAAATTCAATGCCACGATCCCCTTGGATTATACTAGTGCAAATTTAACTCAATCCCCAGCCCAAAACCAAAATACGTGCTTCTATATATTACAGTTTCGATACAAAAACTTTCTTAGGAGATGGTCGCCTGGTTTCTAGAACAGGAAGGGTCACTCTTCGGTCTTCACACAGATCTCATTTAGCAAATTAGGGACCTAGTAAGAGATTTTTTGTCCTCTAAAACTTGCATCAACGTAAACAAAGAAAAAAAAAACTCTGTATATTTTTAAAATAAAAAAAATATTTTTAATATGAAAATTATCTTAATTCAAAAATTATATTAGATAATATATTAACTCAAAAGTTGTATCACACAATATGACATAGTATGATTATTAGATTATAATTGAGTTTTTCTTGTAAATAGTTATATTTCTTAATAAAGTGATGTTTTGAAAAAACATCTCTAAATTCAAAAGTTATGAGACAACAAGAAAAATACCAACTAAAAAAGCTTAAATATAAAAAGTGATCTTTTTCATATTATAACTCAAAGCTTATGTTTAATAAATGAATAGTTATCATTCATAAAGTGATTATTAAAATAATATCTTTATTTAATGATTCTGTTTTATAAAATGTAAAATTATTTTAAGACAGAGAGGTACCTTAATAAAAAGATTACGTCTTTTAAAAGTAATTGTTACAAGTCTATATAAATGATTTGTTATCAACCATTTTGAGACAAAAAAAGAACAAATAAGATAAGAGCCGAACAATTAAGAGTAAGAGAATTTTTATGTTCTGAAAATTAATACAAATACTTGAACTCCCATCAAATTTTAAAAGAATCTAAATTCTTTATAATTAGTGATGGAATCGGGATTTCATGTTTAGGGAGATGAAAATAAAAAATTCAATGTTTGTAAGAGTGTAATTATAAAAAAAAAATTTTAAAAAGAAAATTTATAAGATTTTAAAACTTTGGAGGGTGGGCTCCTATTGGCCCCTTTCTCCATCTCTGCATATAATTTAGTTGCTAAATAAAGTGGTTTTAAAGTCGAACAATTTTACAAACTCTCAAATATATTTTATGATTTTTTTTTTGTAAAGTGTAAAATAAAATCAAATATTAATTTAATTGTATCTTAAAACTATTCCTATAATTCATCTTTATTTATTGAATGGCAAAACAAAATAAATATTAAAAGATAACATCTATTAAAAATTCACATTTGAAAATTAATTTTACCAATTTCTTAAATACCAACTAAACCCCTATTATACCAGTAAAACCTGGCCGGAGAATTAATGGCACAATCTGATCATGGTTTTTCGGGTATATGGCTGAGACTTTGCAATTGAAATCTCTTTGGGTACTGCATCCAGTTTCATTGTTCACATTTAGTCAAAGATGGCATCTAGTGCCCATCTCATCCATCTGCTGAGAACTAGTGCTCTCTGGGTACTGCCAGATTGATCAAGAAACCAAATTAGTGCTCTCTGCTGAGAACTAGTGCTAACAAGAGGATAATGCTCATCTGGCAGCCATGTGCATGCATGACTTAACTATATCAAAACACATATAGAGCATCCCCACTCCGACTAAGTTTTTTCGGCTAGCTATAGCTTCAAGCAATAAGATGGAGATATTTTCCTTTGTCTGAATTTGACAATAAAACTGGCATCTTCTATCTAAGTTAATCAGCTTTATCCTATTCTCTACCATGTGAACACGTACTGAGACATAGCTGAGATTCAAATTTAAGTCCAAGTTTTTATAATTAGCTTGATAGTTGCGTATATATATTTACATAATTATTTTATAAAAAATTCATACTATGATAAGATTCGAATCTGAATATAATAATTTTTTTTTTTTGAAATTAATAGGTTGATCCTGATAAGAATCCCTTACAAGTGCTGTAACTATTATGAGATTCAATCTAAAACTAAAACTAGAATGCTGGACTTGTTCACTCGTTGAACCTATTATTGGATATTTCTTTCAAAACTATCAATCAACTTAGCTGTCCCGAGCTGTTCAGCAAGAGAGTTATGATATAATTCTGTACCGTTTCTGCCACACGTCACATTGAATTCCAAGAGATGGGCCACCCACTATACTTGTATTACTGGCCGCAGGCCATCAGAGCAAGTGAGAGAGCCCATTACAAGAGAATAATATATCATCAATCAGCAAAAGAAAGCAAATCGGACTTTGCGTGATTAGGATTTGACACCAAAAAGCGACAAAACGATGAATGAATGGAGCAAAAGCGGAGTTCAGGCTCGTACGAAAGGCTAAGCATCTAATTTCTTGGGCTATATCTAGATCCAGCCACTTGCAATGTTTAAATGAAACTCGGATGAATATGCCTTTTTGAGTTGATGGTCGAAACATATAATCTCTCTGTGACAAAATATGAAGGCTAGTCCAATTTGTAAGATTCGAAACATGGGGTACAGAATCAAAAAGGCCCTGTTCAGCAATAGGCACATATAGAGGACCAGATCTCGGACTCCATGCCATGCATGTCTCTTTTAACTTGTTTCCATTCTCTAATGTTTTTGAAGTTAATTAAGAAGAGTACCCAAGTGCAATTGGCTTAGTGGCTGCCTGTCGTTTCAAGTCAACTATTAATTGGGAATGAGGGTGTATGTACAAATGGCTGGAGATACATGTCATAAGTTAGATCGGGAGAGAAAATTAAAAGATTCCAATAGGGAAATGATGGGTTATTTCAATGTTTGAATCTATCGATTTAGTGCTGCAAATTGAGAAGAAGCCATTTAGTTCATTAGAAACATATATAATGGCAATGGTGAAACCAATATTTCTAACAAAAATGAGGATAGATGGGAAATGGGACCCATGGGTGAATGATTGTCTGCAAGGGCAGAGCACATTTTTCTCTGGGATACAAAATAATATAAACTCAATTATAATTAAAATTAGAATAAAATTAATTTAAAAAAGCTCTTTGATTAAAAATATCATAAGAGGTGTACTAAATTCAAAGAAATATTACTGTAATTGTAATGTAAAAAAATAACTTAAATTTCTTTTTTTAAGTAAAAAATATATGAACATCAAACCTTATTATATAAAATATAGCAACTATATCTTCTTTCATAAGTCAGGCAATAATTAGTGGCAACATACTTATTGGCCAATTGAAAAGGTAAATTCGTAATTCAAGGAGTTAAAAATCAAATATAATGATTCCCACGCTAAGAATGGTTAAAGAAATCAAATTAATAATTAGGTTTAGAACTTTAAAAAAATAAGCAAATTATGAAGCAAATTAGAAATTTTCATAAGGGGGCGGATGAGCAGTTTAGGAACTCTTGGAGGGCCAAAGTCAAAATTAACCCTTTTTGTTTTAGAATAAAGCTAGAGTTTAGCCAGGTTTTTGAGGGCCAAGGCAAGCGGGGCGAGGGCCACCGGACAGCACCCCCTGGCTCCGCCTCTGATTGTGTGCGAAGTCAAGGAAAACTATTGATGACCCAAGTCACTTGCCGATGTTTCCTTTCTTGTCAACTCTCTCTAATTTACTAATCAAATGAGAGAAATTGAAATCATTCTCCTTCATTTAGCATATCTGCAATTCTCGAATTGGCTATAAATATTTGAATTTAGATGTGCAGTGAAGGTAGAGAATGGTGAGATTATGGATGGAAAATGGTGCTCTTAGTTGGTTTACTTGCCAAGAAGAAGGTGAAAAGCAATCATTCTTAAGGACTGAAATCTTACTTCTCTATTGCTTGTAAAAGACGGAAGAGAAATGAAGCTAAACCCAAAAAGATTCTCAATGCACAAAGGCGAGAAAAGTTAGAAGAACACACCATCATGTGCAGCCCTAAAGAAGCCTAGCACTTGTCCTCAGCAGAGGAGCCATTAACAATGGTCTCCATCTGCAGAGCAGGTTTTGGTTTCCGTGGCTTGTACCACGCCGCACAAACAAGATATAGTACAAAATTAATGATGTCTAGAACGGCTAGAAGTCCATAGAAGCAGTCGAGTCTCCCGTGGTTTATATTGTCAGCCAGCCATCCTTGCCCATCATTGCTTCCTGTCAACCTTTTCACCACTGATACCAAGAAACTACTGACAAAGAAACCAAGCGATAGAGTTGTGAGGAAGAGACCAGTGCTCATGGTTTTCATTCCTTTGGGAGATTGAGTAATGAAGAAATCAAGCTGACCAGTGTATATGAAGGCCTCACCAGCACCCACCAGAAAGAATTGTGGAATCAGTAAGAACACGCTTATAGGCAGGGTCGCTGTGGTGGCACCTGCAGCTCTAGCTACTGCCAATCTTTTCTTCTCAGCTAGTGCTGCAGCTGCCATTCCAAAAGTTGACAGGACTAGGCCTATGGCAATTCTCTGTAGGTTGGTAAAACCTGTCGCAAAAATGAAAGTGGTAAATATATCACTGATTATGGCAGAATTTTATGTCATTTATTTTCCTGTACATACCTGGTTTTCCCTTCCATTTTTTCCAAAATGGCATAATGAGACGGTCATAAACAGCCAGAGTGATCAATATTGCTGCCACAAAGAAGACGGTGAGGGAACCTGCGGGAATTTGGAAACGTCCAATTGATCTTTCCATGGTGGAGGCTTGCTCCACTGAAAAGGTGATCATCTGTGCGTAAGTGGTCCAAAATATGATTGTTGTGGCCCATATTGGCAGAAGCCCCACCATCATTTTCACTTCCTCCACCCTTGTGACCGAGCAAAGTTTCCAGGGGTTTGGAGCAGATACAACATTTCCTTCAAAATCTCCTTCCGCAACAATAGCAGCCTTGTCCAATAATCTAGGATAAGAGAAGCAAAGGCATCAAGCATAAATGAATTGAGTTATGGCACAAAACAAAGGAAATGATTAAGTATTTTTTATTCCCATGCAAATTCTAACGAACTAAATAGACTAAAG